TCAGGGGTAAGTGAAATTGCTCGCCCCTAAGGGAAGGCGAGAGAATGGGTGACCATTTCAAAAACAATGTGTTCTTGTTTTGATTTGTTTTGTTTTTGTTTCAAGCTGCCTATCCCTAGAACTTTCTCAGGCAAACTGGGAAAAATGGTTGGCTCAAGGTTTGAAGTTGTTCACCCCTAAGGAAGAGATAGAAATAAACAACAAATGCACAGGTCAAGAAAATAGGAAAATTGATACAACGATTTTTTGTTCCGTTTTTGTTTCATTCTGTTTCCGTTTTGCTTTGTGTTATCTTATTGGGTTGTGTTATCTTTATAGTAGATTAGAAATTAGTAAAAAACAAACTGAAAGAGTGTTAAGTAAGTTGTTAGAGGTTCAGACCATGGAGAAAGACATTTTAGATCAAGAAAAAGAGAAGGTCTCTGGAGCTAGTCAGATAGAGGAAGAAAATTTAAAGGAAGAAAGCTTAGAGGAGAAACAGCTATTAGGGAAAAAGCTACAACAGGAGGCTGCTACTAACACCGTTCTATCACCAGAGGGCGTAATTCAAACAACAGCTCCACCTATGGAGACAGTTGAGTGGCCCTCAACCCCCGTAGTTGATAGATGGGATCCTGAGACAGGACCTCAAAGATTAGCATGCTCTGTACTTGAGCAGGCAGGAGGGCAGCGAATTCACCGTGCTTTAGATTTCAAAACAGTGAAGTAGTTAAAGGAGGCTGTAACAACCTATGGTCCTCAAGCACCCTTCACTGTACACATGGTCGAATCCATTACCAACTTGGACATGACGCCAGCAGATTGGGCTAGCATGTGTAAATCTGTGCTAAATGGAGGACAATATTTGTTATGGAAGGTTGCCAATGAGGAATTTTGCATGGAGCCGACTAGGCGAAATGCAGCAGCCAGTTACCCTCAAAGAAATCTAGATATGTTGTTAGGAAAAGGATCTTATGAGGGTCAACGGCAACAAATTGAATATGATCCTGCTATATATGCACAAATTGCTGCAGATGCAATTAGGGCATGGAAGACTTTACAAGGACATGGAGATTTACAAGGTCAATTATCTTGTTCATTAGCTTATGAACCTTATGCTGAATTTGTAGATAGGCTTATTCAAACAGCTACCAGAGTTTTTGAGGATACAGAACAAGCAATGCCATTAATTAAACAACTGGCTTATGACCAAGAAAATCGTTGGTTCAGAGAGGTCATTAGACTATGGAAACATGGAGATTTAAACTCATATATTAAATTATGTAGAGACATTAATGAACAAGGGCAAGTCTTGGCAGCTACAGTACAACAGGCTTTAGATGCCAGGCCAAAAACATGCTACAATTGTGAACAAACAGGACATTTTAAAAGGAGTTGCCCCATAGGAGGAGGGTTTAACAAAGCTAGGTATCAAAGGAGTAGAATACTGGGTATTTGCCCACTATGCTGTAAAGGGAGACATTGGGCTTATGATTGCCATTCTCAAACCACCATAGAGGGTACTCCATTATCAAAAAATGGACAAGGACCAGGTGTTTACCCATGATATCATGGAGAAAAGCATCAGGCTCCATTGCCAAAAAACGGACTGAGTGGCCCAATGTTCTGGGGCCCACAACCACAAATACACGGGGCAATGGAGGAACCCAGCAACACCATCAGGGTAGTGCCCAGGACACATTATCCATTAAATCCCTCATCAGACAAACCAGAGGGAGCGCAGGGTTGGACATCTGCGCCTCCGCCAGAGCAGTACTAACTCCAGAGATGGGAGTTCAAATCATTCCCACAGGAGTAAAAGGACCTCTTCCCCAAGGAACAGTAGGCTTATTATTAGGACGCAGTTCTTCTACACTAAAAGGACTTATGATAAGTCCTGGGGTAATTGATCCCGATTATGTAGGTGAAATAAAAATTATAGCTAGTTCTCCAGGAGGTATATCAGTAATTTCACCAGGAGATAGAATAGCACAGTTATTAATAATACCCAGCCTGCATGATAAATTTTCCAGTCATACTGTAGAAAGAGGTTCCAGGGGATTAGGCTCCACAGGTGTAGATTGGGCTATGCTGTCTTTAAATTTAGATTCTCACCCAATGCTAAAACTAAATATTCAAGGACATGAATTTAATGGACTACTGGACACAGGTGCTGACCTTAGCATCATCTCTCGTCAAGAATGGCCAAAACATTGTCCATTACAACAAGCCACCCAAATGCTTCGAGGCCTAGGAGTGGCAACTAATCCCCATAAAAGTGCAATGGTATTAGATTGGAAGGATCCTGAAGGATGTGAAGGAACTATACAGCCATATGTATTGGATCATCTTCCTATAAATTTATGGGGATGAGATGTCCTAGGTCAATTAGGTTTGACATTAACAAATAACATCAATCCTAATGCGCCCACTACTAGGGCTAGACAAGGTTTTAGGAAAGAAAAAATATTAGGAGAACAAGAACAAGGTATAGCGGCACCAATTCAAATAGATCAAGGAATAAATAGACATGGATTGGGTTTTCAGAAGGGGCCACTGAGACAATCAAAATTACTTGGAAATCAGAAAGACCAGTATGGGTTCCTCAGTTGCCCCTGACTAAAGAAAAGATACAAGTAGCCCATGACCTGGTCAAACAACAATTAGCAGAGGGACATATACAACCTTCTGTATCTCCCCATAATACTCCCATTTTTGTCATCAAAAATAAATCTGGTAAATGGAGATTATTGTAAGATTTAAGAGCCACTAATAATGAGATGGTTATTATGGGACCTGCTCAATCAGGGATTCCTCAATTGTCTGCTTTGCCAAAAACCTGGTATGTTTTAGCTATAGATATTAAAGATTGTTTTTTTTCAATTCCAATTCATGCTGAGGATAGTCCACGTTTTGCATTTACTATCCCTGCAATGAATCACGAAGGTCCTGATCAGAGATATGAATGGAAAGTACTCCCTCAAGGGATGGCTAACAGCCCAACTATGTGTCAAATTTATGTTAACAAAGCAATCCAGCCACTTAGAAATCAAAATCCTGAACTACAAATATTTCACTATATGGATGATGTATTATTAGCACATAAAGATAAAAACAGATTGTTAGAATGTTATGCCACACTTACAAATTTATTAAAAAATTATAATCTAGAGATAGCAATAGATAAAGTACAATTAAATTTTCCAATTAATTATTTAGGAGTTCTATTATCTTCAACCATGGTCCGTCCACCAAAAATTCAAATACGAGTAGATCAACTCAAATCACTTAACGACTTTCAAAAGTTATTGGGAGACATAAATTGGATAAGGCCTTATCTAGGCATACCAACAGGAGAGTTGGGACCTTTATTTAATATCCTAAAAGGTCCATCAGATCCAAATTCACCCCACATGTTAACACCTGAAGCAAGAAAGGCATTAAAAATTATTGAAACATATATGGAAAATATGCATTTGGATAGAATTGATATAAGTTTGCCTTTATTATTTATTGTACTACCAACAAAAAATATTCCTACAGGAGTATTTTGTCAAGAAGGTCCATTATTGTGGATACATTTATCTTATTCTCCTAACACTATTCTTACTAGGTATCCTGAGGCTGTAGGACAATTAATACTCAAAGGAATAAAAGCAGCAAAGGGAGTGTTTGGAATTTCTCCCAATAAAATTATTACTCCATATACTATGGATCAAATTCATGAGTTAGCTAATGAGTTAAATACTTGGGCAATATCATGTGTAAATCTAATGTTTCATTTGATAATCACTTACCATCTAATCCTTTGTTGTTTTTTTTGGTCTTTGCATCCTGTAGTTTTTCCAAAAATGACAAGAAAAACCCCTATCATGAATGCTCCAAATGTATTCACTGATGGGTCAAATAATGGTACAGCAGCAGTAGTTACCCCTGATCAAACTTTTACATTTTTAGTACCCAAACAATCAGCTCAAAAGGTAGAGCTTAATGCAGTTATACAAGCTTTTGTGATGCTTAAAGATTCTGTATTTAATTTATTTTCTGATAGTCAGTATATAGTTAATGCTATAGTATCCCTTGAAGATGCTGGTAGGATTTCCCCTTCCTCTACTGTTTTCTCTTTGTTTTCCACTATACAAAGTCTAATCTGGGACAGAAAAGATCCATTCTTTATAGGACATATCAGGGCACATACAGGATTGCCTGGAGCCCTTAGTTTGGGCAATGATTTAGCAGATAAAACTACACATGACATACATATTTTCTCTACACTAGAAGAAGCTACAAAATTTTCATAAAAGGTTCCATGTCAATGCTAATACTTTACAAAAGCATTTTAAAATAACTAAGGAACAAGCTAGACAAATAATAAAACAATGTCAAAATTGTGTGACCTTTTTACCAAAAGTTAATCTTGGAGTCAGTCCTAGAGGATTGATACCTAACCATATTTGGCAGATGGACATCACACACTTGCCAGAATTTGGAAAATTAAAATATTTGCATGTTACAGTTGATACTTCTTCTGGATTTTTGATGGGCTCCCTTCATGCAGGAGAAAAAAAACTAAAGATATTATAGCTCATTGCTTACAAACTTTAGCCACTGTGGGCGTTCCAAAACAGTTAAAAACAGATAATGGTCCTGGCTATACCTTGACCTGTTTTAAACAATTTTGCTCATCATTTGGTATTACTCACATAACAAGAATTCCATACAATCCACAGGGACAAGGCATAGTTGAAAGAGCTCATCAGACTATTAAAATGTTCTTATTAAAGCAAAAAGAGGGAATTGGAAAGGGGTATATATCCCCCAAAGATAAACTTAAAATAACCCTTTTTACTCTAAACTTTTAAAATTTGGATTCATCAGGGCTTAGTGCTGCAGAAAGGCATATGTGTCCAAAAAATGTACATAAGCCTAAGGTACTTTGGAAGGATATTCTAACAGGACAATGGAAAGGTCCTGACCCAGTGATTGTCTGGAGTCGGAGTTCTGTTTGTGTGTTTCCACAGGGAGAACAACAGCCGATTTGGATTCTAGAGAGACTAACCAAAGTGATTTCTACAGACCAAAAAGAAGATGATTTGACTCAAATCCATAACAGCTGATATCCAGAGCCCCAGCTTGGCTATTCTTACATCTGCGACAGTGATTAACCAGGATGCTTTTTTCAATATCTATTTTATTATTGCCTTTTCCCACATCATAAAGTTCTATTTTATTTTTTGAGCTCATACAGACCTAGGTTAATGTTTTTATGATCAGTTTTATTTTTTGACTGTGGAGTTTTAAACACTGCAATGGAGATTTCACCTGTGTAAAGCTACAAGGCCTTCACTATTGTCTTATGTGTTGCACGTTTGTGTGCACACTTGTGTTTTGTGTTGTATGTCTGTATGTGCGTATGTCCATATATCATATATGAGGAGCGCTAATGAAAAAATGGATCCGAATTTTTTTTAATTCACGTGATTTTAATGGTTTAATTTAAATTGGGTAAACAGCTGTTGAGGATTGTTTTAATATGTGAACAAATAAGGAGGTTAACAGATCTGTTTGTTTACTTTCACCTTTCCTTTTCATTATATTTAATAATTCTGTTCAGGATAATGTAAATTGTTCAGAAAATTGTTTTCTTAGTACCTGTTGGAATGTTACATAATTTTTTTTAGCATCATTGCCAGAATTCCTATCTTCATCCCAGTGCCAGTGAAGACAAAGATAAAACCAAACTACAGCTTCTTCGATAGTTATCACAACAAACTGTATAAACTGATGCATCAATGAATAATAACTCAACAAGTAATGCTCAATCAAGGAGTCGATTTACTTTGGGAGGAAATGGACATATTGATAGATTCCTCTGCTTTGAACTGCTCACAGAACTTGCCTGGACTACATATCACTTGTATGCATTGTGAACTATCTGTTGGTGCAGCGAATTGTGGTAGTGCTGGCGTATCTTTGCTGATGGTGTCACTGGTGGTACAATTTTTCCAAAGGAGCCGTCAATTGGCTTGATGTCGTGGCATTTCTGTATCCTCCTCCCTTCTGCTAGTGATGGTCTAAATTTTGGGGACCAACAGAGGTGAGGCAAAGAACCTCAACCCCCCCCACTGGCATAAGGCCAAATTTGGGGGCCAACAGAGGTGAGGCAAAGAACCTCACCCCCCCACTGGTGCAAAGGCCTATCCACAAGTATGGCTGTATGCTGGACTGGTAGTCAGTGATGGGTATGATCCAATTGCAGTGGTACCAACCTAAGACAGGAGGCTGACGCCTAGAGGTCAGCTCATCCGATGACGGGTAAGGACAATATGTTGTATTGGACAACCTAACAGGCATGGTCCCTAGCCACATTGCTTGTTGTTTAATTAAACAGAAGGGGGGAGATACTGAGAGCCACAGCCGAGTGGGAATGGCCCCTGGCATTTTGCCAACAGTATTGGTTGACAGGCGAGGCATTACTATCCGCCTCAGCCGCTACTTTGGAGTTCTCACGCTACTTTGGAGTTCTCGTGGGGATTCCCGGGGATTCTCAGAGAGTTCCCATTGGTTGGGGAAGTGCAGGAGGAGGGATTTCCGGAGGAGATATTTCTGGTGGCTGGTTCCTGGACTAGCTGCATGGGGTTCGGGATAGTTCCCGGGGAGCATGTGTGGAGTGTGTTGGTGGAATTCAGAAATAAAGTTTGTTCCTGCTTCAGTGGCTCGTGATTTGTGCCCAGCCAGACCTGGGAGTTTAATTTTCTGCTCTTTTTCTAATTATTAGCATTGTTGGGCCAATGATTGATGAAGATAATTTATCTTCATCAGTTCCAAAAGTTCAGAGAATTTGTTGGATGTAGCTCAGTGGTAGAGCACTTGCCTAGCACAAGCAGGATCCCATTACTAATAGATAGATAGATAGATAGATAGAAAGATAGATAGATAGATTGATTCTTGTCATCCAAAACAGATCAAGAATGACTATTAACACCACTTGTGTTCAACATTGTACTGGAAATCACCTTCAGTGCAATAGACATGAAAAAGAAATGAAAGGTATAAAGATTGACAAGGAAATGTAAAACTGTATTACTCATAGATAATCTTGGTGCTCATGTAGACAACTCTAAAAGAATTTATGGAAAACCCTTAAAAATTAGTAAGAGAATCTAGCAATGCCTCCAGACACAAAATCCATATACAAAAATCAATTGAGATTTTATGCAACAGGAAAACTACTAGAAAATTAAATTTTAAAGAGATAACAACATTTCACATCAATAAAACATTTTATCATCAAAAACTTAATTCAGAATATATATAAAAATAGCTCCCACACATGATTGAGAACAAGCAAATAATTCAATAGTACAGTAGATAAAGAAGAGAACATGCACTTATCTAAAGAGAACATTTAAGTGACAACAAACATAAAGACTTACTGTATCTTTTTATAGCCATCAGGGGAGGGCATTTTAAAACCCTATGAAATTCAACTACACAATCTCCTCATTGGCAAAAAGTTTAAAGTACTAACAATCCTATGAAGATGTGGAGTCACAGGAACTCTTATAGACAGCAGATGGGAGCATAAATTGAATCCAGTAATTTGGACAATTGTTTGGCTTTATCCACTATTATTGAAGTTATGACTTAGAATTCAAGTATATGGTACATTAACAGATACATAAAATAATGTTTTCAGCAGCATTATTCCATTTTCAAAATCTGGCATTAGCCCCTATCCCTATCAGTAATAGAATGGATAAACACACAGTGACACAATTACATGATGCAATGCTATACAAGAATGAAAGTGAACACACTGAATTGAGTATAAAATATAGAATGGATTTTGAAGCAAATTGAGGGTGTCGAATGGCAAAACTGCAACAATTTAGTTTAAAGATTTTAATTGGCTTTATTTTCAATTCTGGAATTAAATAACACTTCATTGTATAAAATGGAATCCCTCACCCCCCCTTCCTCTCCCCACTCCCCATTTTTTTCTTCCTTCCTTCCTTCCTTCCTTCCTTCCTCCCTTACTTCCTCTTTCCTTTTCAGCACTCCAGATCAAATCCTACATGTTAGGCAAATGTTCTACCACTGAGTAACATCCTCAGCCCTAGAATAAGCATTTTGATGGCCTTAGCAAAGGAGGTTGGTTGTATAGACAGAGAAGAGTTTAAAGAAGGCATAGACAAAAGCAAGAGTGGACTTGATTAGGAGGTCCTTCTTGATCTGGACCCTGCCTTTCCTCCCAGACTTGGTTCCCATGGTAGTCCTCTCAGATGTGATGTTCCAGGGGTATTGATCCTCATGAGGTCCACACTCACTGTGCTTCTGGCCCGCTGTCTTTCTTTGTAAAATTGTTATTTCTTTGTAAAACTCTCACTGGATACCTCCTCAACTCCCTGGACTTCCACACGTTGCTAGCCTTTTTACTTCCCCGACTTCTACTCCTTTAGATGGCTCTGAACCCCAGAGATAGATCCAGGGTTTTTTGTTTGTTTGTTTGTTTGTTTGTTTGTTTTTTGATACAGTGATTAAACCCAGGGGTGCTTAACCACTGAGCCATATCCTCGGCCCTTTTATTTATTTTTTATTTTGAGAGAGGGTCTCACTAAATTGGTGAGGCTAGCTTTGAACCCTTAGTCTTCCAAGCCACTGGGATTATAGGCATGGGCCACCACTCCCAGCTCTAGATCTCATTCTTATGAAGCACCTCAGCACCTGTAATTTGGAACATTAATCTGACTTTGCTTAAAGTATGATAAAATACTATTTGCCTACCTTCTCTCCCAAACTCTAAGTTCCAGGAGGGCAGGGATGAGGGCAACTCATTCACTGCTATCAGTCTGGCCACATGCATGGCTCCTGGAATAAGTGCATGCTCCATGAATATTGAATGAATGAATGAATGGAGAAATAGATGAATACACAATGGGTAGACTTTCTAGCTTCCTCCACCACTTTTCTTCCTAGGTCTTACAAGGGTAACTGAAGCTAAGGTAATAAAAGGTGTAGAACTCACAACATGATTCCAATTTGGGGACACAAACACTTCCTATACAAAAGCACACTTGAGAAATCTGAATAAGAATTTAATCTTCACAGTGAGGAAAAGTTTATTTTCATACAAGGTGACTTGGGGCTAGCCAGTAGTGAGGGCTTCGTTTTCTCCCTCTTCCTCACTCAGGATTTGAAGTCCTATGTCCCACTCTCAGTCATTGTTTTCATATTCTATCTAGATATATTTTTAACTTTTTAAAAAATTCTGTAAATTCTTCTCTCTTGTGACTTCCATTGAATATTATATATTTCAAATAAGCCTTTGCTGATAACGGAATACTCTTTGCTGTTTACCTCACATGGCAAACCTGGTCATTTGTCTAGAATGAAAAGTTTCATCTTTACAATTTGTATCCCAAATGTGTCACATTACCTTTGATTCACTCTCTACTCACTCTTCCCTTCTCAAAATAACTTTTAGAAACTCATTCTTCTCATAAGTCAATAGAAAAATTCTAAGAAGTGGAATGAAACTTAAAAGAAAAGTCAAATGAAGCATATTCACAAAACGCCCCCATCAACAGAGTATTACTCCCCCGTATGTACAGGATCATTGTCTCGCAAAAGCAAAAGGCAAAGCAAAACAAAACAAAAACAAAAAGCCCTGATTAACTTTCCTTAAATTAATCTCTCATAAATCCCATTACTTTTTCCTCCAGAAGTGTTCCTATTATAGAGTACTACAGTAAATATGGATAAAATTTGACCACATTAAGGAAAACAGTCTTTATTGCTTTTGTTTTAATGGAAGCCTAAAGAATGTTCAACAAGATTATATTCACAATTGCTATAGGTAATAGGGCATCTTAAAAAACTTTTGAAATATTAAAATGAATAATTTAAAGCAGAAATACACACGTATATAAAATGATGGGAGATGCAAATTAATGCCTATGTCAATAAATAATAACTAGAAAAATTCTAAATTGAAAGTGATATATCAGAAAAACACAGCTTACCATTAAAAATAAGCTCAGTAAAATCTTATATAAATGTAAAGCAATAATTATGGTCAAGAGCAGAGATCCAACAAGCTGAAGGTATTTATATGTACATTACTCTGGTAATCTAACCTGAGGCCATAACACCCTAAGATAAAGGAATTTCTGTCTGAAAATTCACATTTAATGGCAAAACTTACAACCTGTAAAGAGACTAAATGCCAAAGAAAAACAGTTCTGTGTCCTTGATTTCTGTGAGAGTTCCATGCAAGTATGGGACGACCAGATAGCAAGTCAGAATATGCAGCCTGTGATTTTAATGGATATGTCTATTTTAATGAGTAGATAAACAGCTCCAATTCTCCATTCATCAGAACACTTCAGGAATTAAGGTCACTATTAGTATTACTTGCCATATTAGAGAACATGTGTTTCCCATATAAGGAGACTTCTGCCAATGTTTCCAAGAAAAAAACCCTAAATGCACATGTAATTGCTTGTACTGTCTTCCACTGTTTATACCCCACTCATTCCCTCCTCTCACTCTTAGCTCTGTTCCTGCATTCAGCATATGTTAGTAACAGCTCAGTAGAACTTTATGCTTCTTTGCTTAGGGCACCTTCTCTTTTTTCTGGGCCTTACTCAAAACTGGCAGCCTTTCCGGTCACCTGGTAAATAGCCAAAGCAGGAAAGACAAAGTGGATACAAGCTCCTTCCAAAGCATTCCAAGTGTGGGGACTCTTTCTTAATGGTACAGGGCCAAAAGTACAGTAAGTTGTTTTTCCTTTGGTGGGCATATCTTGATATCTCCAAGGTAGACTTTCAGTGTGGGAACAGGATCTGACATCAAAGTTTTCTGGCCTTCCGCTGGTTCAAGGGAATCTGATAATGTAAACAATTACATTTGGAAATTGACTAAGGGCTTTTCCCCCTGACGACTTAAGTTAAGACCTCTGATTACTAGACCTGGAGTTTTTATGCTTTATGTTATGTGGTTGCTCCACTCCCAATTTTTTCCTAGAGAACTCATCCACAATTGGGTATACCCAGAGAGTTCTTCCAAGCAGACCAGTCTGATGATTGTGCCAATCTCACTTCCTATTATGGTCTTGCCTGGACTCTGCCACTCCCATGCACAGAACAGTGCACTTGAATGCAGTATTTCATATCAGGGTTTCTGGCTTAGAGAGAACAATGTTTTAAACCAGACACTTTAAAGATCTACAATTCCTTCAACATATATTTCAGGTGTTTGGTGAAAAAAACTATCATCTAGACCCTCTAGACTTGGTTATTTCTATCATTTCTAAAATTAGACATTTCTATTACCCTAACACGTCAACTTTTTTGACTATTGGATATACTTTTATGTGTGTGTTTATGTAGGTGTGTTAGCCAAGACAAGGGTTGTTAAAATAAACCCAGTTGGTCTATCAACCCAGTTGGTCTATTTCATATAAAACTGTGGTATGAACCATGCTGACAACTTCAGTAAAGCTAAAATCATCCTGACCAAGCAGTCACAAAATCCATTCGTACATAGGTGTACTTCCCACTTTGGGGTTAACAGACATTGGCATGTTCTTGCCCACCATTTTGTGTGTGTGTGTGTGTGTGTGTGTTTATATTTATGTAAAATTTCACTTT